CCCCAAAACCCCAAAACCCCAAAACCCCAAAACCCCAAAACCCCATAAGATATTGATTGAGGGCTAATTAGGATATTAAAGAATACATAAATTGTAGATTGCTTATTAAAATTTTGAAATTTATTTATTCTATAAACTTATTATATTAATGGGTTGTTTTCAAGCGAAAAACACTAAAGTTGTATTAAAGCCTAATCCTCCTGCATAACAGGAGGAGGAAGACGAAAAAATGCAAGAGTGATATTTGACTATGCTTTACTCTTTTAACAACTATAAAATCAAGCACATCAATGGGAACAATAATGGTAAACCACCTTAAGTTCCAAATGCTAAAAATAATGCAAAATCATAGATAGATGATGCAAGATCTCTATATAGTTCTTAACCTAGACTGATTGACTAAAAACTGGCTGATATCAAGCACAGAGAGAGGATGAAATCAGTAAAAAAGAAAAAGAAGGTAGTATAGATTGAAGAGTTTGGGAGTATGTTTCAGTCACAGAGTTAGCAAGACATTACTTCTAGCACAAGTGATTCATATCGAAATAAATAATGTGCAACAACAGGAGTAAAAAGTCAAGTGCAAATCGAGGTTGAGGAATCTGAAAGCAGCTAAAATTCTAATAAATCAGATAGACAAGTTAATCAATAACAATAGTCTTAGTTGCGACATACAAATACATCATCAAGCAAATAAAGACTACCTGTAGTAGTGGAGGAGAATACTGAAGAAGATGAGTAGCTTGAAAGCAAGAAACGTCCTCTCTCATAAAAATTTAATAGTTCGGGGAAGAAATCTAACTATGATTAATCTTTAATAAGTGCTCATGTGAGTGATGCCACTCGGCCATCTTACAACAGCAGTCATAACTAAAGTGAAAAGACATCTGGGAAATAAACTAGATTTAATGATCATGAAGAGTAAATGATAATGAATAAAATAACTAGAATGGGGAAAAATTATTGAAGTAATTAGAGACAACAACCACCAAATAAAATATGTGAATTATGAAAACTTATGTTCTCCCTTCAATTTTCGAAGCGAATGTACAAAATATATCTAGCCTTGAGATTGTCCTATCATAATCTTCATGAATATATACATATCTATAAAATTAAAGTATTTTGTTTCAAATGAGAGGCTAATTAGTTAAATTACGAAGGATTCATAATTGATTCACGGGGTTTTGGGGTTTTGGGGGGAGTTAGAGTACTTTACAAA